AATCCTTATTATCACGGGGCTGGTACGGGTTCTGGTGGGTACTAGGTAAGATGTATAATATTCGACAAGGAGAGAAGGAGGCGCGCGGAGCGACGACGACTATATGGTGGGTGGATGCCTAAGGCATCCACCCGAGCTAACTAAGAATGGGTAGTGGACACGTGATAGGTGTAGGTAGGTGTAGGAACGGGTAGTGAACCTGTGACACTTATTTTTCTTTTTTAATAAAAAAGGAATAAGAAACTATTATAATAAACCCTAGAAAACAATCAGGATCTTATCCTTTTTTTACTTTTCTTTTCTATTCGATTCAGATCCTTTATTTCGGATATTTTCACATTTGCTAAAAGTTAAACCAAAATCAGGAACCTGATCTTTATTCTATAGGAAATAGAACTACAATTGATAGAAAAAGATCTTTTGTTTATTTTCATTTATAATAGAAGTAGAGTATTTGGTAAGCAAACTTTATTGATTTATATTTTCTATTTATTTCTTAGTTATATTACTCAAATTCTTGATTTTATTATATTATACTATATCTATTATAATAATATCTTTGGGACCAAAAGGGTATAAACAGGACTCCAATTATATACTTAGAATCTACAAGTAAAAAGCTATATAGAATACTAAAAGGAGGACTATATATACAGGTATTGGGAGTTATAAGAGCTAGGCCCAAAAGGGTGAAAGAGACCTAGAGATAAGCATCGTATGATGCCTAGGTCTAGAGCTGTAGAGCTAGGGCTCTAAGCTGTGAAAGGAAGGTCCAAAAGAGCTGTTATATCATACTACATATGTAGTATGAGCCAGTGGGCGGAAGAGAGCCGTCTGTTCCGTCACAATCTTCTTTAAGGATAAATCTATCCCTTCTATCAAAAATCAAGGATTGTATTATTTCATTTCCATTTCTATATATTCTTATTATATTATCAGTTTCATATTAATGCCAGATACAGAAACAAATATTCATTATAAAAAAAACTTACCAAACTATCTTTATCTTACTTTTCTCCTTTCAATAACTCAGAATCCCTGATCTAATTACAAAACTTTCAGATAACCAAACTTCTAATCTCTGAGTACAAATATAAAACCAAATAATAATAACAATCCTAAGGAATTACAATACTCATTCTTTTCTAAAGATTATTATTATATATAGTTATTCAACCAAATTGAAAAATAGTTATATAATAATTTAAAACCTCTTTATTTGGATAATAAATACAATGTTTATAATCTTATTTAGCAAATAATTTCTATTATATTAAATCCCTTTACAATTCGAATAATTAAGATCAAATACAATTCTTTTATTATATT